CCACTGCACTCCAGTCTGGGCGACAGAGTGAGACTCCAACTCAAAATAAATAAATAAAGTCAAAATGCATTTAATACTATCTAACCTACCACACATCATAGCTTTGCCTAACCTTACCTGTATACTACTGAATCCCGTACTGAAAGTGAAAAACAATAGTCGTATGGGTACCATTGTAATTTTGGAAAGCTAAGTCAAACCGTTGTAAGTTAAGGATTATCTATTAGAGGACAATATTTCCATTGCTTTATCATTTGAAACATTTGTGTTTCACCTTCTTTGACCAGTTATATTATCTTCATGGGAAACTTGCCATTATATAAGTATGCTTCCCTTTAAAAGTGCATGGACCATCCCTAAGCTAAGTAAGAATTTTGTACTGTTTTGTCTATAATGTTGCTTGACAAAGTTCATATTTTTTTATGGTGATGAAATTCAGAAAAGTCCAACAGTGAACTTGATTACAAACTTAGAAAAATTTTGCACAATTTGTTGTATCATTGTGGTGTATTGTACCTTTAAGTCTAGCAGTATTCTTCCTTTAATTATCAATTTTGCAACATTTTTGGAAAGTTGGGACTTTAAATAAATGAGAGTAATTCTCTAAACTGATCTAAATTTTCTAAATTAACAGTCAAATAAACCTATCTTGTAGTAATTTAGAAAACATGTGGTCTCCCAATTTTTTATTCATACTCAAATGTATGGCCTTTCTACTTTTTAATATCTGAAAATTATTTCACTCAATGTAGGAGACAAAGCTTTTTGAAAAAACAAATAGTTACAGGGTGGTTTTGTTCTACTTTGTGATTTTTGTCATTTTTTTTTTCTTCCATTTATTATGATTCCTTTTCCTAACCCCAGAGGTTAATTCATTGGGTCTTGGACTGATCTCAGGAGTCTGTCCCTGAAAATGTAGTTTTGCTCACTTCTATTCTAGATTATTTCATTAACTGTTAAGCAGTTAATCCTAATACTTCCTTCACTAGCTAATGGACATTTAGCTCTTGTCTATTAGTTGAATATTCGAGAGCAAAAGATTATTTTTATTTCAAAGAGGTGAAATTCTGATGCTGACAGTAGAGGCCTAGTCATCAGAATGTCTAATGTGGAGACTCATGTGCTTTGTGTACAACCCACTGGAGCTTGCCGTTGTGAGAGAGCTCTGATTCTGGAATTAGATTTTTTTCTGTCTTTTTCGGAAATATGTTAGTATACCACAAAAACATGTCTTTACATTTCCCCTTATTGATTCTTACTACAAACCCCACATCAAGAAGAAAAAGGGTTTTTTGTGTGTGTTTGTTTATTTGTTTTGAAAGCAGGATTTATTGAGAGGATAGACATGTTCTCACAGTGGGAGGGGACCCAAAAGAGTTGCCTGAAAAAGTTTTAAAGTTGGACTGGCCCGGTTGAAGTGGTTCAGCCTGTAATCCCTGCACTTTGGGAGGCCGAGGTGAGAGGATTGCCTGAGCCTGGGGGTTCGAGACCAGCCTGGGCAACTTGGTGAGACCTCATCTCTACAATAAATCACAAAAACTAGCCGGACGTTGTGGCGTGCGTCTAGTTCCAGCTACTTGGAAGGCTGAGGTGGAAGGATCACCTGAGCCCAGCAGGTCAAGGCTGCAGTGATTGTGAGGATGCCACTGCACTCCAGCCTGGGCAACAAGAGCGAGACTCCAAATCAAAAGATAATAATAATATAATAATAAAGTTAGACTGGGTTTATTTATGAGTACACACAATAAGTTTACCTTGAGATAGAATACTAAAGGAAGCCAGATATAGGAAACATTGCCTTGTCTTAGTCTCTTTTACCATCTAGATTGTCTTAATGACCTGGAATTGTGCACAGTTCTACAAAGGACAATTTACGTTGTATTTCTTTTACTAAGTAGTGGGTTTTCTTTGGAGGTTCAGATTGAATTTTGATACCTATACCAAGAGTGCCTTCTTTGGCTTTTCTTTGTGGGCTCTGACAAAATTATCTATGAATCTACATAGTCCTAATATTTTGGTTTCAAGAACATCATTCATAGAACCCTGAAATGAAATGCACCCAAAGAGTGCCAGATTTATCAACATCAACTTTTTTTAACTGCAGAATAAGGAGCAATAGGTATTTAGAACCGACCCTTGAGACCTCCTCAGTCATTTGGTCATTCCAGCAATGAGTACAGATTGCCAACTTCAGTGGACTTGTTAGTCTATAGATATGGTACGAATAAGCTTTTAGATGTCCAGCACCTAGCCCTGTCCTAAATGCTGATAAACTGAACCATAGTCCTTGCAGCTACATGCGTATGTATTGTACTTTGCTTTCATTCTTTTTGGTCCATTTGTCACTAGGATTTTTTAAACATAACTCTGATTACACGCTTCTGCATTGAAGTATCTTGTGGCTCATTGTGGACTTAAAGTATAACAATCTCATGGTATGTGAGGACTTTGCAATGCCTCTATTTCCACTATTGTTTCTGAACAGGTTGTCTTTCCTCCTATGCAGTATTTTCTGACCTTGAACAACTTGGAGTTTCTTGAGATTTCTACAATCTCTTAGCTTTTGCAAGTCTGCAGCTGAAAGGCCTTGTTCCTATTCAACCTAAATGAAACTATACATGAGTTTCTCACTATACTAACAGCAATCATTGCATGTTTTGTCTTTTCCATTAGAAAGCTTCTCGAAAGCTGGGACTATCTGCTTTGTCTATGTAATTCTAGTAGCTGAAGTTATAATATCTAAATATGGGTACTGTTAGTGGCTGTCTTGTACCACGTGAAGAAACATGTACTGCAGTTAGAGAGAAGAATGAAGCCATCATGGAAGCAGAGTAAAGAAAGTCCTGATTTCAGTACCTGGTTCTTGTCTTTATGTCCGGATCAACCTCTGCCTTTCTCGTACCTTGATTATTGAATTATTCTGTGAGGTACCCCAAATATCCTTCTAATAAATGCTCATGTTTGTTTTAACTCGTGTGTATTACTTTCAACCCAAATATTTCTGCTCACAGGGGAAATAAGGCCTTGTCATTTGGGTTCTTTGGAAGCAGATACCGAGAAGACGTTTGGGATGCAAGGCGTTTATTGAGGATCAACAGTTGTGAAATGATAGGACACTCAATAAGGAAGAACTGAGCAAAGTCAAGCTGCACTGCATAGGAGCCAGCAGGGAGCTCTGGAGCACGTACTGCCCATAAGAGTGCTTCACGTGGGCACTCGTAACCCTGCACTGCCCAGTCACCAGTGTCAGGTTGTCACGATGGGAGCAACCTTAGGTGAAGCAGCTCTTTTTTTTTTTGAGTTGGAGTCTCTGTCGCCCAGACGAGTGCAGCGGCCGCCCCCGGCCACCGCAGCCTCGACCTGCTGGGCTCTGGCGATCCTTCCGCCTCAGCCTTCCAAGTAGCTGGAACTACAGGCGCGCGCTACCACGCCCGGCTCATTTTTTGATTTATTGTAGAGACGAGGTCTCGCCAAGTTGCCCAGGCGGGTCTCGAACCCGCAGGCTCAGGCACTCCACTCGCCTCAGCCTCCCAAAGTCGTGG